TGGCAAATGTCAAGATGGCAGGCAGAACGTCGACGGAGCCCAAACTCAGAGACAAGCATGTGTTAAGGCTGTGTCGATGTTGAATACATTGCATTTATTGCGATATTAACAACCTCCAGTTTAAAGAATATTAAGTGTTATATATATTTATTACTAGATGAGCATATGGTAAGGTTCGGTAAAAATTTGATTTACAAATGATTAATAGGCATCTTACGTTTAATTACTACCAAAGGCATAGTCAGGCAGCCCACTCCCTCCCCTTTGAAAGAATCGTTATAGTAGCTATAAGAATGCGCCCATTTCTTAACATATTATTCTTTAATATACCTTGCAAGTATTTACAAATCCTTTAGGATAATTATTGTACTTCTAAATTTGGACCGTGTAGCTTCAGAAAAAACCTCGCTTGGCTAAATTTCCCTACTGGTAAAAAGATTACAGTCGACTTCCTAACCAAAAATGCCGTAACTAAATACCTTCATTCACGTGTGAAATAATAAATAACACAAAAGTTAAATATGGCAGAAAGAGGAACATCACTGAAATCAACTGATGACCAAGGTGTATGTCTCTCACTGAAATTCAAGCTGAAATACCGAAATTCCTCCTGTAGCCGAATTCGGAAGATTGTAACTTCTACATTAGTGCACTTACCAGTTTATAATATGCTTCATTATTGACGTTGTCAGGTCCTCTTTTCCTTCTTAAAAATCTCCTTTGAGTTTCATTATGTCACAAACTCAGTCTGTGTGCCGTTTAGTTAACATTGACTTCAGAATCACTAAAAAAAATACTACTAGGAAGCCGCCATGCTCACTCGTTTCTCCCGCTGTAACAATCTCCGTCTTGTCGAGTGTCACAGAAAACGGAACCTAACTATGGGAAGGTTAATGTTAAACGTATACCACGGTCTAGACCACAAAATTGTTCTAGTTATTTTGTTATCTTATAAACGACACAATAACTAATCTAAGCTAGTAATCCTAAGGTAGGTTTAGTTAGAATGGAATGGAATTAGTTTGTATCTTGTGAAAAATCAGTGGTTTTACGATCCCATTCGGGTTTTAATTTAACATAATTATTTTAATTTTTTTAGCAACAACTGATGTACAGACCTTTTCTGAATGCCTAATTTTAATTTAATTTTTTGAAAAAATTCATACATGCATAGATATATATTTTTTTACCGATAACACCAAGTCGCTTACTTTGTTGCAATTAATCCCTGCTAAATTTTATTCTTAATACAGTATATTTGTAAATTATGTAAAACTATCGGGTTATAAATTTTGCGTCACATTAACGATATAAATTCGTGTAAGAATGGTCATAATCAACGTCTCATTGTTCTTTTTAGATAGAAATAAATCATATGAATTTGATTTGCCGAAAAATTTTTAGCTCACCTACAAAAAGTATAAAAACTTATGTCAAATCCCCGTTGTTAATGAAATCAATGTTAGCTTTGGCCATTTAAGTTGCCATTTTTTTTATAAATGGTAACTTGCTTATACCATGAGAAATTAGAATATAAATATATATATATATATATATATATATATATATATCTTGATAAAATCACACGGGAAAATGGAAACAACGGAGTTGTTTCCATTTTCCCCGTGTGATTTTATCAAGATTTATCTTATCCACGTTTTCATTGTGGATTTACATGATATATATATATATATATATATATATATATATATATATATATATATATATATATATATATAATATATCTCCATTGTAAAAACATCCAGGGCAATCAGTTTGAAACGTTTGCACCAACCTAACAAAAAAAATACCATTCCAATTTGATTAACCCCTTAATTAATTACTCCTGATAATGAAACACCCGAACACCGTCTACCTTTCCCTACTGTAGCCGAACTTAACCCCCACAGATATGGTGTTTAATCAACATGCGAAATAAGCTAGGGGAGACTAGGCTAATCTAAACATGATCCACCAATTTAACTGTATTAAAAAATTTCACCATGTCACGAGGTTTCTTCACCAGTACGTGTCCTTCACTTAACTCAAGGCAGAAATATAAACAAATCAATGGTCAAATTTATAAACATGAGAATCATATACATATTAATATAGTTTATAATAAATATATTTCATTTATACTTTTTTTCAATATATTTTTCTCGGCAATGTATTCTTAATGTGACTAAATGTATCATCCACAAACTGGTAATAAATGTATCATCCAGTTACTTAATGTATCATTCACTGTTATTGTATCAAACATAAACTATCACTAAATGTATCATCCAGTTACAAAATGTGCCATCCACTAATGGTCACTAATTGTATCACCCACAAACTGTCACTAAATGTATTACCCGCAAACTGTCACTAAATGTATCACCCACAAACTGTCACTAAATGTATCACCCACAAACTGTCACTAAATGTATCACCAACAAACTGTCACTAAATGTATCACCCACAAACTGTCACTAAATGTATCACCCACAAACTGTCACTAAATGTATTACCCACAATCTCTCACTAAATGTATCACCAACATTGTCACCAAAATGAGGTCTTGTGAAGCTATTACCACATTATCTTCCCATTTATTCTAACCCTGTACAACTAATCAAAACAAGAACCTGTATATACACGTGTGTGGGCGTGTGTGTGTGTGTACCGTACTGTATGTATCTACCTATCCATCTACTTTTATCCATCCATTTCCATTTTTACACAACATGGGATGGAAAAGGGAAAACAGGCATGTCAAGTAAGGGGGGAAATGGTAAAGGAACTCGGTTTAAGTACAGTACCATAAATCGAAGTGTAATATGAATGGGATGAAATAACAACACTCACACACAAAGTATGCGAGCACTAATAATTACACATATTCACGTCCCGAGATATTATGCTTTTCCATTCTACCATACTGTACTCTTTTTGATTTTATAAATTCAAAAGATATTTTAATTTCACATACCAAAACCAGAGATGTACAGGAGGGACACCTGCAGCTTTTTGCACAAGTGGTCAGTTCACCACCACCATTCTCTTTGACAGTGGCAGCAGAGAAGGAGTGTACTGTTATCAAGTGTATTTAGGCACACAAGTACAAGTGTACTAGGGGTTTCTAAGAAGCATAGACTGATTTGTATACACTCTAATCCTCCCATGATCTCAATGACTACAGTATAGATATTAACATTTTCCCTGGCTCATAACACAAAAATATTTAAGCTAATGGTTCCCCCTCTTTTACATCTCTACTTAAACTATCACAAAAGTCAGTCCTTCAACTTTAATATATTTTGGTGTGTGCTTTTCTTGAATCAACCTACAATTTGAATACCGGTACTATTGTAAAATATACAGGTAAGTGCCTATTGAAAATGCATCATAATTATACCAGTGATACAAACATGTATTTTACCTGTACAGTACTCGTTATAATCTCAACCTAATCAACCAAAACAATTCAAACACACAGCCTCCCATTGGTTAGAAAATCAATAATTAAATGCATCTCTTGGCCTAATGACACTACCGTACTAAACGTCAATGTGTAGTATTGTTGTTAAAATATATGACAAGAAGACTTTTAATGAATACTCAAATTCATCTTAAACATTAAATTTAGTTATACATGTACTGCATTGACAAATTGAATACAGTAATATATATTTTTGAAAACTGTGAATAATGATGGTAATGATGATGAATATGAGCCAGCTGCTGATAATAATACTTATTGGTTCATCTTTTATCAGTCAAGAAAAATAGAATACAATTCATGCTTTTATCTAAACAAGCTGTGACATGATGAATGCAATTTGTACTGTATTACAAATGTTGTTCATCAATGAAGAAACAGGTAATGCATCCAACCATTTGACAAGTAGCTCATTATAATGAAAAAGTCTTGAAAACTTTACAGCATTTGATGGTAACCTGAAGGGATGAAGATTACAGTAGTTTAATTTCAAGTTCTACATAATGCTCAGTTCAGGGGCCTGTACATGATAGGACAACTGGATAAGCACTGGACAGACTGAAATAAACCCACTCTAATAAAACCCAGGTACAACAGTCTTTAACCCTTCCTTACTTTGCAGGGCGACAATACTCTTTAACTTACTCTGGCCACTCCCACATCATAAGATACCTATGTGCTAAATATTTGTGCATTAATGATTTGAAGACTTGATTGTGATATTTTCTACTAATGGCTTGACAATAAATGTAGATTACTAACAGTCAGTTCTCTTAAATAAGTGTCATAAGTACAGACTAAGCTAGATTGGTCAGTGAAAGTATTCACATATTATCTGAAGCAGTAAAAATACATTGTTTAAGATACTTTCTTTACAATGACATTGTCAACTTCAGAATACTGTACAGTACAGTACTTAGCTTGGTGCAAGGCTTTCTGAAAACTGTGATCAGCTTTTTGCACACTATAAACAATTATATTCCCTGGTCCAACCCAACCACGTGCTCTGACTCCATACCAAGGCTTGGATGCATAGTGTGTTACCTACCATAACACTGCACCAATTACTGTACCAAAAGAAATGCTTACATGGTACTACAGCTATACAGTATCTATAAAGGAGGATAAAGTCCACATCACCAACTTGAGCATAATTGGTAGGTGAAATGACCTCAACTCAAAACAAGATGTCAATAATTACAGTGGGGTATGCGATAACGAACGGATCCTACTACGAATATTCCTATAACGAACGGTTTTACCTATAAAATTGATAATGCTATAACGAATGAAACTCCTACAACGAACATTATAAAATAATTTTTTTTTTTTTACTAATTTATTGTTTCTGTATTTACAAGTATTAATGATATTCTTTATTTCAAGGGTTTAGATGCATATTTATGCACTTTTTTACAATTTTTACAATTTAATATTATATTTTTCAGTGTTAAGTGGATGTATTTGGGGGCCTGGAACGGATTAATCCTATAACGAACGAATGCTATAACGAACAAGGTTCTAGAACCAATTAGATTGGTTATACCATACCCCACTGTATGAAGAAATGAAGTCAATTAATAAAAAAAAAATTTATATAAAAAAGTTCATTAATCAACATACTTTTCAAGAACCTAATTCTTCACAAATAAGTTCAGTTTTCATATATAACAAGAGTCACACACTGAATGCATATAAACTAATGACCAGTACAGTACATAATTTCCTTCTAGCTGGATTATCACTTTACACATTTGAGATGATCTGTCTAGCAATGACTAGAATGACATGGTGAAAACTCACCCTCATCATAATGAAAAACATGAAATAAATCTGTCAATCACACATTACCACACCTAATAAATAGGAATACTAACCTTGCTGGAAGAATGTGTTCCCTTAAAAATCATTTGATCCCTTTTGTGTGGAAATGCTAAACTTTATACAGGTATTGCAATCTGTTACATCAAAATAAAACTCTGCATGAACAACAGCTCTGCTTATTATCACTTACTCATTTCTTATTAAGTTGAACTCAAAAGTATCTGTAGTTCTGGTATCAGGTAAAGGCACAAGAAATGAGCCTCAATTTTCTTCTAACCCCTTCACTACAGGGACATCACTTTTGATATTTTATTTTGGGTAATGCCTGACGATTTTATTCAGCTCAGAGGGGACCCTATACATAAAGGGTTTATAGCCTAAAAATTCATAATCGGTGGGTGAAAAATATATGTCAGGTTACCAGAGCCACACATAATTTTTTGTTACATTTTTACTGATTAAAACTTTCAGACACTTGAATTTCGCCGCTAAAAGACTAATACAATATCTGAAGCGTGCCAAGTTAGAAGTTTGTGCTGTAAATTGTAATACCTGTACTGTAAGAATTATCACATTCCATCAACTTCTCTTACCAATACTTATGGTAAGCCAAGTGAAGTTCCATTGTAGTGTGGCATCAGAAAATGTTGATTCTTATTGCTAAGAAAAATTATATCATTTCCTTTCATGCTGAACCTGTGAAAAAAAAAAGTTAAGTGTTTAAGTTTTATGAAGATTGAAAACTAATGAAGACCTTTTTTTCAAAATAATTAAAGAGAAACAGTTATTTGAGAATAACCACAGAAAGGGCAGTTAGTTCTTCTATGTACATTTCACATTTTCATATATTTTCCAAATGTCAAATACGTACTACACAAATATATCAACTGAAACAATGTACAGGATTAAAATTTTACAATTAACAAAATATAAAATAAAAATACAAATTCCCAAACAAAATCAGTGCCCATCCCTCACCGCAACATGCCGCGATGCAACCCTCGTGGTGTGGAGTGTTCCTCATAGAAGAGTCCAAAACAACGACAAAGTAACTTCATGCCCCCATATCCTGTCAAGTCCAGCTCCTTGTATGGTACAACATAAACTGCTTGCCTGTGTAACATTAGTAAGAATCCTGTTAAGTTTGAAGAAACAGGTAATATATTACTGTACATCCTTTATATCCAATAAGCCAATGGCTACCCAAGTGGTCCTAACACATGTCTTTTAATATCTTTGACCATGTATATCAAAACATCAACACTCACTTGTCATCAAAGACTAATTTTAAATTACTGAAGGACTCAGTTGTAGCACACTTGACAACTGCCTCCTTGCTTAGTTTGACCATGTGAGCATGACTGGAATTCAATAGCTCCATCAAACGATTTTCATATCGTTCAGCAGTGAGAGTGTCTGCATTGCTGAGGGGTGAGGTCATCTCTCTGAAAGCAAGTTACAAAAGCAGTTAGTTCCCAGTCTGTCACCCTAATCTAATCTACCCAATACAGCCTAACATATCCAACTTAACCTAACTTATGTCAATCCAACCATAAATTAACCCAACCTTCCCTAATCCAGTCTAATTTAACCTATCCATACTTAATCTAATATAACCTAACCTAATCCAACCTTATAAAATTCAACCCAACCTAACCTAACCCAACCCAAAATAACCCATACAGTACTGTATTGTACGTACTAACGAAATGGTATAGAATGCAAGCATAAGCCGAGGAAGATATAACGGCAAAAGTACTCCATTAAAATGCATACAATGTATTACTTTCTAACTACCATCAACACCTCTTCTCTTTTATAAGCCATCCTCACTATACTGCAAGGTATCCAGAACTAAGGTCAAACCCAGGCTATTTCATCATTTATTATCATTTATTTACTCTTGCTGCTGTGACATCCCCATAAATCACTTGATGCCACACTTTCCCTCGCATATTAATTTCTTCTTGGTCTTCTCCCTTCCCTACTACCAAGCACTTCTGAATTTTTTACTCTTTTTACCACTATTTCATCTTTCATTCCCTTAAAATTACCCATACCACTGTAGCAAACAGTGATCAACTTTCTGCCTGACACTTTTCCCATCTCCTTAACTCTATATCCTATTCACCTATATACAGTACTGCTCTCAAGCACAGTACTGTACTCATACTTCACACTAGTTAAATCATCAAAACTTGCTCACAAATAAGTTATCATTTCCAATATCAAGAATTTTACTTGTTTATCTTTACAGTACAGTACATAATAGACTGAGGTGCACAGAACCAAAGTAGGAGAAGAGCCATAAATGAAAAACAGAGAAAAATGCAGTTAAAGTTTACAAACCTTCAAATTACCATAACTTTGGAACCAGTAAAGATACTGAAGTGATTCAAGTGACATATTGTAGCATTGTTAGTGCAATTTAACTGACATTAGTGAAAGGCATCATGTGTATTGTTTTTGGGCATACCAGTGCTTGTACTACTACAGTTCTGTGCTCCACATATAAAGACATACACCCAAAGTCCCATGGGATATAAATTGTAGACTTTCTTCTTGTTGACAAATTTTCGAAAATATTCACACCTTTATTATTCTCCATAGTATTCCACACACTAATTGATCTTAACTCACAGGTTGGTAGCACGAAGACGGTGGAAGAGAGAACTGATCAATGGTGTGACTGGTTCAAGGTCAGGCCCCACTGGACGACGCAGCACACGTGACACATCCGGTACGACTGTCTCTCTTTCCCAACGGCCAAGCTCTAACCAGCCCTCCCAGCCACTGCAATTATTATTGTCCACATTTTTTATTAATAAATATTATACTTTCTTGCAATGAAGCAGCACAGCCAGATATATGGTGATCTCTTTCTTCTCAACATTCAGCAACCAGTGGATTACTTCATCCCCTTGACAGGATGCTAGTCCACCCAAGGGTTGTTCCACCAGGCATCTGATACTGGACTTCTTTTACAACTGAATGTGCAAGGGTTAATGTCCAAGGAGGGAACCCAATCCTCCATTCCCTCTGGGAATTGAACCTGGACCATTAGTTTGTCAAGCAATTTCCTTTCCAGAAATCTTCAATAAATATTTATATGGTCAAGAAAATTTTGTATTAATCATCTCTTATAGTATTGAACTTTACCTTGAGAGTATCTTTGGATGAGATTTATAATGACATGGGGCACATGGTTCAGCAAGCGAGAGAGAAAGGAATATTCTTCAAAAAAATTATAAGTATGGCAACTTCTCTCTCTAGGGGACAAACCTCAGATGACTTCTACAATATCTCCAAATTTGACTCTGCCTCTAAAAACATATATCTCATCAAATCTAACACTGAACACTAACTAGATACATAGTACTGTACTGTATTTCAACAGCCACTGTAAGAAGAGAGAATGAGGAAACAAGAATGAAGTTCGATATGCAATTCTTGTATTTGAGGCAGATGTTAAAGGTGTACACTGTGTTTAGTTCAGACACAGAGCTCCTAATAAAAGGGAAAGTTACAATGGAATCAGAGAGAAATGTTATTACACTTGTACAAGACAGTCTGTGTTGAAGACATCATATTACCTCACACTTACCGTTTGTTACAACACTGTTTCATGTTTGGTTTTAGTTCCTTTATATAAGTAGCCATACGTATTGTGAATGCTTGACCAGGGAAATCCTCCACCCTGTACACAATATCAGGCCGAGATGACACATTTGGAAAACCTGGAAATAACAATGTCTTTAAATTAAAAACACCTTTAATAGCATTACATCTATACAGTACACCCAAAAAAAAAAATCCATGAAATTTCAATTTTGAAAAAAATACATAAAACATCACAAACACTATAATCCCCACTGAACAATGCTAAACTATTTTCTTATTTTTGTTTCAAAGGCTCAATGTGTCTATTCCAATCCTGTAAATAGGAATAACAGGAAAGTAACATAACATCACAGAACTGGGTAGCCCCAATACCCTTCAAGAAAATTATCTATCTTTAAAATACAAAAAATACAGTAATTCTCAGAGGTTTATGTTACAGCCAGATACTGTACTGTACATTAACAACACATGAAGCTCATTGAATTTTGACTTTCATAATTGTAAAACAACCTCTTTCCAGAAATAATTTCCTGATATTTAACAAATGGTAGAAAATTTGTCAATAATGCCATTACACTTTCTTCATAAACATCAAAAGGCTATCCATTATTTGAAGCCACTGAAGTACAAGTGGAATATGTGAGGAGCATCAATCCTTAACTAAATCATAATCTCACCATTAGGATTCCAGGCAGACACAGCTAATATGGTGGGGTCATAGAGCAGAGGCAGGACACTGGCAGTGTAAGCCATGAAGTCAGGAGCTAACAGTAAACCTTCCTCTAATACTGTCACATATGATGACCCAGGAAATAGGGCATGAGCTGTCTCAAACACCACTGCCATTATTCCTGAAATATAATTGGAAATCAAATTTAACATCTTTTTACATTTGGAATGTATATATTAAAAAAAAATAATTAGAATTTCTAAATTAATATTTTAGGATCATAAATAATATACATAAAGTACTACTGTATATATACATAAAGAGAAAGAGAGAGAATATTTCAATACAATACTGTATAAGAACTCTCTCCCTACTTACTGTGGTATTCTTTCACACTGGTGGCTTTTGCATTAAACCCAAAGAGCTGACAGAGCTGAGCCACATCCTTAATGAGTTCAGGATTATACACCACCACCACGTAGCGGGGTTGTATCCCTGGTTGACTCAGTAGAGTCTCTAATGACAGTGTTAATGAGGAGAGAGACATCCCAGCAACCACCATAATTGGAGTCATGAACATTGCACTGCCAACTAACTGTCGGTTTGTCAGCATTGCAGGTTTGAGTGGCATATTCCGCTGATCAACTGTTGGAGATGGAGAAAAAAAAAAGTTAATTACGGAATAGGTTTAAACCAGAGGAGCATACAAAGCATAAACACCGTGCATTGTAGATCTGAAAGGAAGTACTGTATTATTGTACCCCAGGAAAACTAATTATCACAGTTCTGAGTAAAGAGTAGGGAAATTTCCTTCATCAGATTTTTTTGCTAATAACTTTATACAGGATTTACAAGGTGATAGTCTGGTAACACTGACTTTAATGAAATAAAAGTTACTCATCAAACTCCTTCACTTCTTTACCCTGGGGTCTGGACAAAGAGAACTTTATCTTCTACAGGTTGCCATCACACACATGATCATACCAAAAACTCCTCATATGAGCCTCAGTGAACACAATTTATCATATAAGATTAACCTATTCCTCTCTCACACACTTCTTATTGAATTAATCCCATATTAGTTTTATCCTTTTTAAACAAAATGTTACTGTAAGGTGCATTGGGATGTCACAGAAGTTATAAGTGAATGGATCAAGAAACTGAATGGAAAATCTTGTTAGCTCTTGATATCCATCACCCTGAAGCACAACAGGGAAAAGCTTGCAAAAATATTTCTAATTCACAACAATATTCTACCATAATGCCTTCCTAGCAGTTAATTGCTTCAGGATGGAAAAATTAAATTATATAAAAAAAGAAAACCACTACAATTTCCTGTGAATGTGGAGAACAGTGCTGATAACAGAAAAGTGGAGGACATCACAACTTTGCTAAGACAGGGCAGAAACCAAAGTCCAACACATACCACATGATATTTCTCAACAATCTACTGATGATAGACATGTACAGTATATCAGTTCTACTTTCTTATACAAAACAGAAACCAGTGTCATACAAATGTAATGGTTGGTGGTTGGCAGTTAACTAATCAGGGATTCCTGGCAATAACTGTCACCAGCCTGCACACCCTTATTGTGAATGTGAAAGGAACCACGCTCAACTTTTGTCTCAAGGTTACTATTCTTGTGTATCGACATAGTTGACCTTCACTAAGAAGAGTACAGCAAACACCTGCTAAGCTCTACTAGATAGAGCTTCTTGGCTTACAGTTCTATGTGTGTGTGTGTGTTTGAAGACCGAGTCAAATCTTGAGCTCTGGCATCTGGCCACCACCCAATGTAGGTTTTATTTCATGAACATTTTTGTTACATGTTTATATATATACCGGGTATATATGTGGACTATAAAGTTAACTTTGTTTCTAGAATGTCAGGACATGAAAATTTCTGTGCTGGAGTCTACATAAACACCAACAAACACCTGTCCTCAACTACTGAATATAGTATACAGTATTGGTACTATTGTATCACACATTACAAACAATAAAGACAGACACATCTGCCCACAACAATATCTAACATTTACAGAAGAAAAAATAATTCAATCTCCGAATAACCAATGAAAAAAGTGAGCACTTACCACTAGTCTATAGTTAAGCACAGCAGATCAACCTGATGAGTTATCAACACTCGTGGTGATGTTGGCACTCTGACCATCCAAGATCATCAAGTTTATCATGTTCCTTAAAACCTATACAAAAGGCTATCAAGCTGACCAATCAACTAATCTTGAAAAACATGGTAACATCTGAGATGAAGCAGTTCAGCTGTGTGTGACGATGATGTTGGCCAATCGGGTTTGCTCAAGCTCTCTTTCATCTTCTGTAATTTTTGCAAACCAAGCTCTGCCTCTTCACCTATAGTCCATACTAGGAAGTACAGAGTACTGCACTGAACTATGTACATATGAGCATACAGTAATTCCAGGCACAAATAGCAATTCCAAATTAACCCTAAGTACAGCTCTCCTCCTTGAAAAACTTAAGATCCAAAAACAACCAACAAGAGATCAATCCTACAACACATTCTTATACTATACCTAAAAAACACTTTCATCAATCTCCACAATATCAAGTTTATTACCAAATATAAGAGCCTTGAACCACACTCATGTTGGTCTCATCTACCTTGTGCACTCCAGCTAAAATCCACAAATCTTTGTTCATCTTTCTTTCCCTTAACATCACTATAACAACATCCTTCACAGGTGCAATATACAGTACAAGTGAGACACAGTACAAGGGACTTAAAGAAAGCTCATGTAAGGCACAAACCACAGCAACCTCTCCACACTATCCACAACAAATGACACTGTTCAGAAAAGCAAGAGCGGACATTCACTGCAGCGCTATACCGATGTAAACATGGGTTCATTTTAAATAGTATATATCTTTGTTTCTGCCATGTAATAGACTCTAGGAAAGACTTGACAATCCTAACTTATTATCAAAAGGCATAAAAGTATATACTCAACTGTAAAAAGCTCCAACTTATTGTTGATGTGTTCCACTTCTAATGATACATGAAAATAAAAGATGGACACTTACATTTAAGTTCTAGATTCAGAAAATCACACAAGTTCTAAGAAGAATTAATAAAAATAAAAAGTACAGACAACAAAGATGAATATTTCTATGTGTTAACATACATTAGGAGGGGAAGGCTTGTGTTATTTTCAATTATACCCTGGCATTGCTGTGTAAGAATCCATATATGCAAGGCACTCATGGCCTAGTTTATTGCACCAAAACAATATCCAGTGTTAACATATTTCTAAAAAACTGTACAGTAAACCCTCGATAACTCAGAATTTCATACAAAATTATCTGGGAAAATCTCGGCATATCTGGCCACCTGTGCCATACTACCATGCCTCTGTGTCACCTACCATGCCTCTGTGTCACCTACCATATCTCTGTGTCACCTATGCATCTGTGTCACCTACCATGCCTCTGTGTCACCTAACATGCCTCTGTGTCACCTACCATATCTCTGTGTCACCTACTATGCATCTGTGTCACCTTCTATGATGCTTCATTCTCTGCTTGCAGTGCTGGTAAGTGTTACTTTTTTACATTTAGTAATTACATGTGCACACATATGGGTAGATAATTTTTCCTTGTTGTATTTTTGTAAGAGGGTGAAGGGGGGGGGGGGAAAGTGCCTCGATAAGAAGGAATTTGGGATAACTCAGCAAGGCCAGAGCCCCATATGTGCTGAGTTATTAAGGGGTTACTGTACATAAACATGGGGTTGAAAAAAAATGATCAAGCTTGAAACATTGAATGATTAATTACAAACTATATATTGTATGGTACAGTTATTACCATACTAAACAGCATGTGAAAATCTCTCTAGGTACAAAAAGCATCAAAAAAAAACATTAATGGTTTACAAATCACAAACAACTTAAACACTATACTATACAGGCAAGGTCAAAAGTAATCATCCACTCCATCACAAACTCATGTGCCTGGCCAGGTCCTTTCTGCACATCAAGTCACGTGGGGTGGAGAGGGGGAATGGTTGACTCAGAGGAGGGCCATTTGTCAGCGGGTGGGGATGGGAGGGTGGTATGCAATGTAAATTAATCACAGGGGACAGATGAAGAAAGCAGGGAAATTCATGAAAGAAGGAAGGGAAGGTTGGATATACGAATATATATTTTTTTCATTACTGTATATTATCCTCTCACCCTTAACTCTCTAAATAATGTTAACCCAGCATACAACCATAACTATTATGCCAGAAGAACTTTAATCCTACGCATCCCACCAACTTCAACCTGAACCTAAAAAATCGTTGGTGTCCAGAAGCTGAAATGTCCAAGAAGACTATGTATCAGCCAACAAACTTCAAGCAGAGAACATTTTAAAATTATTCAATACTTTTATCTGATTATTTTAACATTTTACTCAGTGTTTTACCCTTAACTTTCTGTTTCAAATATGGTAATTCTCTAATTCTATCTTGCCAAACTGATGGGAAAATAAAAACTATGCTCACCTGAACAGAAGTCAGAGATGTAGGAGTGCTGTTCACAGAATTTTGTCCGAGCATTATTCTGCATCACCTTTGGGTCCGGCATGATGATGCGTCCTTTCACTGGAGACAGATTTTTTTATGAGTAAAGAGGACATTACCAAATGAAACATCTCCTTCAATGACCATGTTGAAAGTTAAGAAGATACAACATGAACTCTCAATACAGTACAGTACTGTACATTTGTTCTCCAGGAAAAAATAACTGTACTGTAAGTATCAGTTTACAGCAACTGTACTTTTTATACACTACCTTGATACATAAAAAAACATAATGGTGTAAGAAAAACTGTTGTTGAAGATGATCTACTCTGCTTTTTTTTTCTTTTTTCCTTTTTTTTTTGGGGGGGGGACCAGCAAGACACCCCAAAATTCTAGATGTACTGAATCTTATTAATTGACCACCCTAATTTGGCTTGAAAAATATATATTGTACAGTATTTTTAAAATCCTTTATAGAATTTCTTGCTCAGCATTTCCTAGTACTGTATAATATGTACATTTTGGCTTGCATAGAACTGTATACTGAGATAAATTAGTACTATGTACTTAGAAGAGGTAATATTTCAGTAACTGATACTGTATACTAATGAAAAAAATAGGCACCACAGAGGCACATGGGTGAGCTGGGCTGGGTTTTCTTTTCTGGATGAATCTGTCACTTTTTTTTTTTTGAGGGAGAGATTATCAGATGTTTTCTTGACCAGTGTCTGCATGCCTTATTCAACTCAGGCAACACAGTACAGTACTGTATATTTTGAAATATCAATCACATACTTGCTTAAGTAAAATATTACTTACATTGATGAGGCACGCAGAGGTGTTCATCAATCGGAGACCACAAACCACCTTTGGAAGCCTTCAGAATCTCATAAGGTGAAAAGCCTTTCATCCCTCGCTGTGAGATCATGTACCACTGACCTCGGAACTGTAAGTTTTGAACCTGGCTACTGCCTGTTGATGAGAGACAATCTACTTTGTTTAATCCTGTCCCTTCACATACACAAGAGATCTATTCAACTTGTACAGTACAATCCTTCAACCTAAACAGCCTATAACAAAGTTAATGCCAAATATTAATCTGAGAAGGAAGGGAAATGCACAGCTCTATCTAAATACTGTACTGCATTTGCTCTGAAATCTAAAGATTTCTATATTGAAAAAGTTAAGTCAGGTAACTCTGCCCATTAATGAAAAAATAAACTGTCTCCATTTCAACAGCCATTTATGACCTCTTATATTACAATGAATTACACAAATTTCTTTTCTTTACACATTAGCTAATCCTTGTCCTATTTTACAAAAGCTATAATGTGATTACTGTACACTGTATGAAACTAAGTAACAGGTAATAAATATCTTCTGACTTTTCCTCTCCACTTGGCAGTACAGGACAGAGGGTCACAGGAGACGACCAGAGTTAAAGGTGAACAAACAATGAAATCTTCAAACTTGCTTCAAACCTCATGTCACCTTTACCCACAGTCCAAGTACAACCAAGAGTCTTCCCTAAATATTTAATCTACACAGCACTACCACACTGTCACATAGATGATATAAATCAACACAGAACATTATACAGTACTGTACAGGTACTTGTACATTAAATTAAACTTTCTTACAACAAATTATGTCCTGTTTTATATAAATATACAGTATATATATATATATATATATATATATATATATATATATATATATATATATATATATATATATATATATATATATATATATATATATATATATATATATATATATATATATCAAAATTAAATTCAGCACAACACAAAAAGGTACAGTAAACTACCCGGTAATGAAATAAAATTAGATAAAAATAGAAAAGAAAAATAATTAGATATATTACATATATAAAAAATACAGGGCTAAAGATTATAGTGTATGAAGTAACATTATAAAACAATCTGTGAATAACAAAAAATTACACAAGTGTCAGAGTGCCATGTTGGAGTGCACCTTGAATGTGACAGGACATAAAAAACATTAAAGACAGACAGGCAGAGAGCTTTTCTCTTGGCAACCTCTGATGGGTGACTATGGCCCAGAAATGACCAAGATTTTCACAGGAATCAAACTTTTATACCTATGTAACAGTACAACTGACCTTTTGGATTTATTAAGTTATCTCCCGGTATTCACTGATAAAATCATAAATAATAACTTAACATTGATGTGCAGCTAAACTAACTTCTCTTATCATTTCTTTCACCCGAGACATTACATCACTCCCTAACAATAAGATGACAACAAATATGGATGTGAATTATTAGTGACCTACAAACCATAATATCTAGTTTGTATATGTTTATTATTGTCTACTACAGTGCAACAGGTAAATACAAATAACCTTTAACCCTTTGAGTATGGTACAATTATTTAATCCCTTTAGTGTTATGATATACTGTAATCAGGAAAGGAATTAATCTCAAGGGATTAAAAAATATCTTACTGGACTACTTCAATGTACTCACGAACTAAGCCAACAACTCGGTAGACACACCGAGTTTTACTGAATTACCTGTACAGTACAAACAAAAGACATGGTTCAACACTTTTCACTGTGGGTAAGAATGTGATCAACACTAATGATCATGCAAGTACAAAAACCTATCTTGTAAATACAAAAGTGTTCTGATACAAGTTACACCTTTTAGGCATTGTCTATATACCTACCTGTAAATGCTGAACTGTACAACTGCATTGTCTTTAAACTTGTTTAATCAATGTACTTATACAAGTATCCCTCAATATACGAATGGATTCGGTTCCAGAAACATTCGTTAGGTGATTTTTTATATCTCGAATAACACAACAAATGGGAAAATAGGGTTAGGTTACTCAATGACAAAAATACCCCAAAATCATCCCCCCCCCAAAAAAAAATAATCCATTCACAAACAAGAAATAAACAACCTAACTAATGACACATACTACCTGTACATAGTTACTGTACCTAACACATTAAAAACATTAATAAAAAACTATATAGATAAAAATATGCAGCTAAAACTATTAAGGAAAAGCTAAATCAAAGTTTACCACAGCCGCCAGCAGCTCCATTTCCATACACGCTGGCTGCTTCATGCATGGCCACCCTCAAGTGTCGCTATAGCAACGCAGCCCAGTCGCTTCTGCCGACCCTTTGCAACAATCCCCCTCCCAAGGACATGTTTATTCCCTTTATTTTTTAACCTTATAATAGTTTTTTCTTTTTTCCACATTATGTATGAAGGATTATGTATGCATGTAAATGAGTACAGTAAGATCTTGTATTTTGCGAGTAATAAAGACTGGAAAAATTGTGCCAAATGCAAATACATAAACTAATGGGAAAAATAACAATATAGACTGGCCACTCTACATCAACCTCTGATTTTCCCCATTTATAACCTCCAAATGATACAAATTCTGCCTTTATTGACTTAATTGTGCTTTCCGGAAACTAGTTTTTAGGCCTTCCTCGAGTAATTTAATCACACGCTGCTTATCCTGCATTGAGTACTTGGCAAACTTAACTCCCTTATGATAGTCCCGCTTCTCCTTTTCCTTATTTGGCTGCTTAGGTGGGTCTGTCCCACCCCCACCAGCACCAGTAGGACCCCCAGTAGAGGTAGAGGCCATTATCTTGACTCAACAGGTAGTAGCACCACCCAAAAAAAAGCACACAATAATAGCCTGGGCGGTCGCTAGGATGGTGTGGGCTACAACACAATAGTCGCGTTCTTGTAAACCTCTTTTATGTTCACCACCAGCAATTTGATCACCAGAACGCTTCTTGGAAACATTCTTCTTACCTTGTCTTTCCGTATTCATCGCTAACACAACAAAATTGGAGAAAATAGCAAAAATTATGGAGTAATTGACAAACCGCACGATTCAACTGATCACGTGATGTAAACAGAGACAGATGGTGTAAATCATTATTAGTCCTCACTGCGAAACATTCTTTTAATGTATTCTTTTCATACAGTATTTATGGGTAACAGATAAATTTGCACAAAAAATAAAAAATAAAAATTACAGAGTACCTCTCAAAAAACACTTCACAAACAAAGGACACAAATCAATTGAACATGTAATGTCGAATGTGAAGTGTAAACATTGCATAACCCTGCACCACACTTAAAACGTTGAGGATAGAATCAAAACATTGAGGATGGAATTGCGCTATAGCCAACATTCGTATGCAAAAGTTCGCGCTTTATAAACAGCGTTCCCCTATTCATCGATCGCATTGCAACCAATTCGCGTTGACAAAACACGCATTGTAGCAGAAATGACTGTAACTGGTATGAGGGCTGTGATGTCATTCTAGACGGTGGCCAGCATTTAACTGGCTGGATCTCGCGAAATTCACGATATTTTACACAAAATATAAGGCTTGGTAAACATTAGGCAGTGTTCGCGAAATTCAAAAACGCGAAATGAAATCGCGCGAAATATGAGATCTTGCTGTACAGTAAATATAAGTGAAAAAAGTTAAGTTTAGCTACCCAAAACGAGTTGATTAATAATCATATTATAAATCCCCCAGCTAATCCTTCTAACTCTCGTCGGTGCACGAAGAAATGTTATTTCCTTTATGTTTTGACCATATTATTTTTTTTTTTTGCACATTCCATACGTAGGAGTGTTTGTGAATATAACTGAATGAATAAAAATATGAAAACAATTGTGTTTATACTGTACAGTACGGTATACCCATAATTACGTGCTGAAAAATAACCATAACTTAATTCCTACCTCAGCCTGGTACAGAGAGCACTAGGGGATGAAGCCGCCCCAGCTGACTCCCGAGGGCATGCGATTAGAAGTTTTGCCGGGACCCAAGTTCATATAAGTGGGGAAACTTTTGTAACAAGATAAAGAGGTGGTAATTTAGGAAATTCTTATAAACAAACTTTCCTATCTTGAAGGTTTGTATAGCGAAGGATACCAGATACAGTACTTGTGCAATAATTTTACTGAATTAATATAGTTTCCATATATCTACAGTATCTATCTATCTATCGATTAACCTATCTAACCATTTATCTATCAATCTACAATCTATCTATTGACCTATGGACTATCTATATATCTATCCATTTTTCTATTTATTCATATTAACGTACCTAAATCAGCAAGTAAATTCTTAGCCATGACTCCTAAGTTTCTTGAGGCTTCATCAAACGTCATAGCAATGAGTATGTCTCCCTGCCGCACTTCACGCATCAGGAACAGCTCCATCTCACTGGAGTCCATTGCGTAGGTATCAAAGCGACGTGCATTTACTGGCTTCATCCGATATGAGTCAACAACCACCAAGTTCATCCCTCGTCCACCATTATTGATATCTTTTTGGATAACACTGTCGGAAATTACAAACATAAATTTTTAGCTAACAATATCATCTATAATATCTTAGCATATCTTATTTAAGATTAATACATAAATTGGTAATTAATGGAAGACTTGATCATGATAGCCTTTGACCTTATAGGGGTCATACCAAAGGGGCCCTCAACATACAGGATGCTTAATAGGTGTAATACTTGGTCTCTTGTCACCCCATTATATCAGCCAAGGTTGCACTCCCCTCCCCATCCCACCTATCACCCCCATAGGAGATCAGAAGGTCTTTTAGAACTATATCTGTCTGATCAGGACACTTTACACTAATGCACCACAATTGTTTTCCAGGTCAATTAATCAATTTTGAAATTCAGTTACCAGCTAAGCCAGAAGCATAAGGAGTGAGACAGAATACTGTATACAAATCACCTGGCTATGAACTCAACAAGAAAACAAAACATCAGGATAATTCCCTCTTATTAGTTAACGCTAAAGGACGTAAAATAGAATAATTCTTAAATAAACATCATAATGGAACGGTCTAATACGTGAAACACAAAATAAAAAAAAATAAAATATAAAAAACTCACTATTTTCCTGATACACATATCTTTGGCATATCATCTTTACTCTTGCCGCTGTACACGTGAACGGGAAAGTGGTCGTGCGGACAGACATAATTCACGCCACAGTTTGGTAGGATCTCTCCAATCTGCATGTACTGAGACACTATCCTCTCTCCATGGTCTGAAAAAAAAAGAGTTCACATTTAAAAATCACTCAATCATAATCATGTTCTTCTCATGGCATACAAAGAAAATAGAAGGAAGTACATTAGTTAACAGGGTGGCATATATCTGTACATAGACTGAGAAGTTAGTATAATTTTGGTTAGATTACACTAACTTGTTTAGGTTAGGTGAGGCTAGCTTTGGGTATAATATTACCATAGGGGTATTTAATCATCTGATAAAATAAACTGGAGTGGAGTGTTTAATATTTTGGTAATCCCAACTTCCTCTCTTAATAATGATACAATAAAAATAATCATTAAAAATCAATAAATAAAACAGAAGCACAAGACACATACATCTAACTCACCTTGAAATGGGAAAGGCACTGTTGTATTTTCCTGGTAGAATTCAACTGTGTGTACTGGGAGAGATCCAAAGAAGAATTCATAAATGCCATACAATCCAAATCCAATGAAGACGGTGATCCCGATGGAGCCAACATTACGGCAAGCTGATACTGTAACACATACACTTAAGTTATGGTAACCGCATTCACTGTATCTTTGTTTTTTGTTTTATGTAATTTTAAGTGTTCTCAGTTAACTACCTGGATGTTTGTGCTGTCATATCATCCAACACATTTTATTAAATGCTAAAAATATCTCACTAAATGGTGCATAAATTTGGCATGTACTGTATTAAAAAATTAGGGAATTATGCTTAATCCCATTTTAGAACCGAGCCTCGGTAAAACAGCTCTCAACTACGCCCATCAGAGGCATAGTCCATAAAAAGGAGAATGAGAAAAGCCACTGATGCCCAATGACTGGGAGTGAACACCTTGATTATCACACAGCCTGTCAACTCATACTGAAGACACCTAAGAGAAAAATGCTTTAACTCCCAACCATGTCTCCAAGGAGGAAAGTTGAGAAGAAAATGAGGCTAACCTTGAAAAAAAAGTTCGACATGATCATGCAAGTACCTGTACGTACAAAACCTATCTTGCAAATGTAAAAATTATTCAAACTTCTGGTGAATCACAAATACTGTACTGTACTGTACAGTACTCTCTATCTTTATTTGAGTCAACAGCCTAGATGTTTTAACATCAATTTACAAAAAATCCTCCAATTACCAGTACAGATACAACTTACCAAGTGAGAATCTCTTCATGACAGCTGTGAAAACAGATTGTAGATTGTACATTAGAAATTAAGGTGCACATATTTATATTTTTAAAATATTAAAGACGTATAAGGGGTACAGTACAGTAGATTACTTTGAAAAACTGTAAGCAGCTGATCAATTTCTCGACACATTTTGTACAAAATACTATACTTTTCGTATAAATAAAATTATAACATGTGGGACAAGAGTACATAACTTTGTCTCTGTCAAGGCTATAATTTTTTAAATGCCACAAAATAATGTTTTTTGTATGTTATAAGAATTCTCAAGCCAGGCTTACTGTAAGTCGTTTTTATAGCAGTGGTCAAGTGGATGCTAAGCTTGCCTCCTTTCATTAGGGTCACTGGTTCACACCCAGGGCACAACCAGTTCACCCAGTGGTGAAAGGGAACCAGTACCTAACCTTACAGTTGGGAAAGTGAAGGAAGCAATGCAGCCTCTTTGTGTGCTGAAAGTTTAGTAGTGTCCAGAGCCTCTTATGGACCATCAGACTTACTGGAGCCACTTCACTTTCACAACACCTTGAAGTAATGCTGTACTGTACAAGGAAATATTACAAATAAAACAAATTATGGATTAATACATGGCTCCATCAAAAACCTTTGCCATTCATGGTTTTTAATAGCTATTTTATTGAGTTTATCCAGTTTGGCAACAAGGGTCAGCACCAGCAACCCAACCATTTTATTTTGTTCCTTAAAGATCTGACCTCTATGAAAGCTGAAAATTGTCCATAGCTTTAACCTTCCTGGAAAAAAATCAAGCAAACAAAGATTGTCCTCAAAGTACTGTACTGTACAGGATAACTACCGGTATGTAAAAATTGTTGCTCATGAAGGATATCCTGCCCAGCAACCAGCCTCTAACAACAAAACACTAGTTGATCACATAATAATCAATTGATACATTTTAAAACATCATGTTATAACTATCGATATATTATACAGCAGCGGATATTTTGCCATGACCGGCTAAGTTCCTACTAACGCTGTTTTTCCGTGAGTGCGTTCTGATTGGCTAATCATCCCTTACTGGCAAACAACGTGAGAACTATATATGACCGTCACTCTGGAGGCATTTGGCATATATTTCGCTGGGAGTTCATCATTGTGTAGCTATAAACATATCTAACCAGAAGGAGATGTTTGATTTTTTTTTCCACAGATGTTATCATTATAAATGAGGTGACATTTACTAGAACCTGACCTAACCAACCAAAGAAACCTACCTAACCTTACCTAACTTCCTAGCTGGGGAGTGGACCCTCAGTCATATTCACCAGAAAGTACTTAGCTAATTAGAGTGCACTCACAGTACAATAGCTTAAGTAGGAACTTAGCCTGTCACGGCAAAATATCCACACCGATATTATAAAGAATGATTATCAACTTTTCTCACATCAATTGAACCTAACCAACCTCTTGACAGTACAATTCATCAGATTGTTTCTGCTGGAGGCCTTGTTTCACTCATTATTACATTATGCCTGTATTGGTTATGCAATACAGTAATTCACTTGATGGCCACAGCTGCAAAAAACTGAGTCCATGGGCTGCAAATCAGAGTGCACCAGTTAGGTTAGGTAAGGTTTTTAAAGTTTTGTTTGGTGTTATTTTTCGTGTTTTATCCCACATTTTCCCTCTACTTCAAAGTTCTATTACACAACCTGGGGTCCGACTAATTACCCAAATGTACCCAAATGTAGCCAAATATAGCCGGAATGAAGTCAAATAATGGTCCTAGATGAATAAATCGGACTGCCAATCACTTCTCGACTAGTATTTGGTGTCAGAAAGTCACAAAAAATTGGAAAACTTACTTTAATCTGAGTTAATAGATCGCGTGCATGTACCGACGGAGCGCGGAATTACCCAAATGTAGTCGCAATGAAGTCAAATAATGGTCCTAGATGAATAAATCGGACTGCCAATCACTTCTCGACTAGTATTTGGTGTCACGAAGTAAAAAAAAATTGGTAAACTTAATTCAATCTGAGTTAATAGATCAAGTGCATGTACCTAACCTAACCTAACCTAACCTAACCTAACCTAACCTAATCTAATCTAATCTAATCTAACCTAACACAACACAACTCAGATTAAATTAAGCTTACCATTTTTTTTTTACTTTATGACACCAAATAATAATCGAGAAGTGATTCACAGCCCGAATTACGCTTGTACGACCATCATTTGACTTCATTGCGGCTACATTTGGGTAATTCCTCGCTCCGTCGGTACATGCACGCGATCTATTACTAAGATTAAAGTAAGTTTTACAATTTTTTGTGACTTTGTGACACCACATACTAGTCGAGAAATGATTGGCAGTCCGATTTATTCATGTAGGACCATTATTTGACTTCATTCCGGCTATATTTTGCTACATTTGGGTACATTTGGGTAATTAGTCGGACCGCACAAACAAACCTGATGTGGGCCGCTGGTGCACTCTCATTTGCAGCCCATGGACTGTTTTCACAGCTGCGGCCATGAAGTGAAGCATTGCCCTCTTTACTGACTAAGTTACACAAAATGTATCTAATTAGGTCATTAGAAAAGCTAAACTAAACTCGGCCGCCACAAAACGGAGGCTGCCCATTGTACAACCTCGCCCACGTACTGAGGTCGTGTTGATCTTATTATGAATTACTGTGCTTCAACAAATAAAGTCTTTAGCACGTACTCTAATGAAGATCAAACTAATCATTAATCATTAAATAGTTACATCTATTACTATACACTTTACGTCCTCCGTACTACTGACTGGCCGCTCCTTTCAAGCTGTTGACATCATGAAGTGAAGTATAAATACTATTTAACTCTAAATGGATAAAATATTTAGACAGTAATGAATGTAAATCTCTCAGTAAAGTTCTAAAACCACAAACATATAATGTGTTTTACCGTTGTCAAAGGTTAGCTGACTTTGTGTTGTTGTTGGTTGCCATAGACTGCCTGGAACTCTGGTTTTCCTATCCAACACAAAACTTGGGTATGTCGCGTTTTATTGAAACAGACTTATAATATAAATGACACAATAAAACCATAAATTATAAAAAATGCTTTTAAATTTATGTGAATATATTGTGTAGCTTTCTACAGGTCTATTAAACTTAACTCTGAAAGTTATATCGAGTGAAACAATAATCTTGGAAGAATCTAGTATTTAAGATTGTTTTAATAAATTTAAATAATACATATCTAAGTTATCATTAAACCACTGACATTAAAGAATTAAAATAAAATCTGCTTAACTTAGTAATAAGATTGAAATAAATATATCCACTCAGTTTTCTACCAAATCTTCAAGTTACATCATAGTTCAAACTGTGCCTACATTCCCCTTTTCTCATAGGCTTGACAACAATGTGAGCAATGTTAAACACAAACATGAAATTCCACATCTATTTTCGATATTATTTCTATGTTTATAGATAGCTATTATCTGTGTTGTGTTCCTATATATTTTTTCATACAAATTAATTGAAAGTAAATATTTATCCTCATGCGTGTTATTTCTGCGACCTGCTGTAAATTTGTCGTTCACTGTGTGCCTGCAGGCTAAACCTAGGATTCCACATATGCGTTTGCAGTATGCGTTTGCGTTAAATTGCCCTGAAAAACGGACACCCTGTTTCCATTTGCATGCAAGGTGTCTTTCTGTTAGCGGGAAAAGAACAGGAAAGTTGGCTCCTAGTTCATCAAAACTACGAGCCTTATATGAACAGGATGATTTGCTATTACATTCTGGGATTTTATAAGATCATGTGTAAATCAAAGGAAAAACGGACAAGGAAACATAGATGGTTGGTTCATAGATTGCTGCTGAATCGGGCCAAATACGGAGCCTACAATACTCTGGTGATAAGAAATAAAAATATTTGGTTATTAACTTATTATTGGATTCATTTATTTCCAGACTGACTACGAAATGCATTGTCTGATGTATAGGAGAACCTTGTGAACGTGAGAAGTCTGAAAACCTATAATTCCACAACTGTCACTGTGACTAGGCTGTACTGGGTGACCCATTATTCATCGTTATAATCTCTCAATTTCACAGCTGCCTTTACGCTCATATTATCACACTTACTAAATTATCTAATGTGTGTGGAGAACCTCATACAGGAGGGAGATCGGAACATCCATAATGCAAGGGAAGGAACACAACCCTCAGTAGTCTTACGCTACAGGGATTGATTGAAAGGTACCGCAAACGCATAACGCTAACGCAACCGTGCCAATGGAAACAACTGTGTACATTTCAATATGATCTATTTTGGGGCTCTAACGTTACCGCTACCACGTGAATGGAAGAATCCTAGCTTAATTCGTTATCGTTTTCTCATTTGAAAATTTCTTCCGAGCGTACCCGAAAATTGATGTTGTGGCTGTACCTATTCAGAAATGTTTAAATAAAATTGTCTAATGACATGTTAAGTTAAACATCACATTTTACTTGCTGTAAAATTAGACTCCCTATTTTCAATCTATCTATATATTATCACCCTTTCTTCACCATACTTTTGCTACATAATCCTTCCTACACTATATAATCCGGCCTTCACTACACAATCCTTCATTCACTATATAATCCTTTATTCACTATAATATCCTTCATTCACTATATAATCCTTTATTCACTATAATATCCTTCATTCACTATATTATCCGTCGTTCACTATATAATCCTTCCTTCACTTCAGGTTCACTACCTAATGCAGTAAAGGATTACTTATTTTAAGTTATTTAGTGAAGGAAAAAGAATTATGTAGTGAAGGAAGAAGGATTACGTAGTGAAGGGGGGATTATGTAGTGAAAAAGATTATGTAGTAAAAGAAGGATTACGTAGATAAAGAGCTAAAATCACTCATCCGATTTCAGGGTTCGAAGGATTTTGCGTAGGATGGACCTTTTCTAAGTGGTGATGGCATTATAGTGATAACGCGTGTACCTCACGAATGTGTCCTGGGTTCGACTTCTGCCTGACGACAGATAGTGCTCAGGATGTTATCTATTAAGTAAAAAAAAAAAAGAAACAAAAAAGACCAACCTCCCGAACGGCTCTATATGGTAATAAGTGGTGGAAAAATAAATTAAGTTAGCCAATCAGAGGTGAGCTGGTCTACGTGGCACTTTACCATTGGCTCTACTGTGTTGGCTTATTACAGGGTTATCTATTGTCTTATTTTGTATTTATTGGTTTTATCGGTTAATTGAGACAAGTAGAATTTTGTTTCCTGTAATATGGCTTTTTTCTACTCATGTTATTTATTGAGTTTTAGTATAAGGATGTTTTAAACTATTTTCGATTTTTCATATTTGATAGAAGAATGAAACATATTTCAATACAGTTAATTAAAGCTTACCACGCTGAATGTTAAATAACTTGGTCGTCGCCGCATGAGTATTCTCGTCGTTAATAAGTCTAAAGTTACTTAATAAGGACATTCCAACAAAAACACTCGCTTGATCACAATAAACCACTAACACACAAAGATATCCGTCTGGTTTAAGCTGCACGGACACACACACAGAGTAAGCATCACCTCAGAGTCTATACACTGACAAACACCTGCCAGGCATAAGTTCACAAAGTGTTCTCTTATGATATAAACATTAAAGTTATAATGTACGTGATCCCACAACAAGTCTAAGGGTGAGATAGTGTTTGTAATGTGAGATAGTACTGTAGCTCTCTCTCTCTCTCTCTCTCTCTCGATCGTAAACCAGAAGAAAATTCAAGAAAACATCGAATGATTTTTTTCCGTGTGGCAAAATTAAAATGAGTGAGTGAGCATTTAGTTGCTACCGTTTTACTCTTTATTACTTCCAAGCGAAAAAGGGGCTATTTTTATTACGAGTGTTAGGTTATTGAAATAAGGGTTAGATGTGGAAGTAGCCAATGACCACATGCTATTGGCTGGCATATTGATGACGTCAACTTGCTTCCACACTCTATTGGTTAACACTGTGATGACGTCAACCCCCTTCCATGCTCCATTGGCCTAGGGTAAATATGGAAATAGCCAATGACGACATGTTTATTGGCTGGCATACTGAAGACGTTAACCTTTTTCCACACGTACAGTAATTGGGTGACATCATGATGACGTTCTTCCCTGGGGCAACCTGTCACCATTGGTCATTATCGGATTAACACTGCTCTAGCCACCGATGTCCTACAACGACCTCGTCTTCCTCTTAGCCCTCAAGACACTAAGGGCTTCACTGAACGACTACAGTGCTTCCCTTCCGGTGTTCTACTGCTGCTGTAACCCTAACCCTGTAACTCTAACCAGATCTTTTTTGTATATACTGTATTTTAATATAAGTCACTAATGCAACCTGTGTTTAGCCTCTGTCCTACTGTACTTGTCCAGCCTCGAAAGAAACAGAGACTATATAACTAGTCATTAAACCCTATACAACACTACTGGCTGACACCATGATAACTTCAACCCTCGTATACAAACTCTATTGGTTGGTGCAGTAATGACGTCAACTCATGTCCTCACTCTACTGGATGAGACAGGTATGACGTCAACCCTCTTTCACGCTCCATTGGCCAACAGTAATGATGTCATCCCAAAGCTATCTGTATAATGCAGTTACGACAACATCATGCATGACACACAAGATGCATTTCAGATTGTTTTCTTCGATTATATAATAAACGTTAAAACAGAAAATAAATTAGAAAGGAATAAAATATTGGAAATCTGGGGGAAACACAAAATAAGTAAAGCTAAAACTGGAATATATTTAGTGTGAAAAGTCATAAGGAATCTAAGATAAAAATATTAACAAATGTCAATATGGGAGGGAGTTGAAATAGCAAAGGTTAAGATAAGGTTGAATGATCACTCACCTCTCTCAGTGACACTTTAGCGGCTGTGCTCCGGTTACTGTGACAACAGCCTTGACCTGCAGGGTGACACGGAGGGGCCTACATATATATACTCTGATGTTTATATGCAGTATTTAGAATGATTTATATAAGACACATTGATACACTACGCAATAGTAAGGTATATGATCAGTAACTATCACTCCCCCTATATTTTATTTGTTAAAAAAATATCTTTATTCGTATCTTTATCCTGAAATGGTTTACACAATATACTGCATCCACTATTATTATTATTATTATTATTATTATTATTATTATTATTATTATTATTATCATTATTGGTTATTATTATTATTATTATTATTATTATTATTATTATTATTATTATTATTATTATTGGTTATTATTATTATTATTATTATTATTATTATTATTATTATCATTTTTTTATTATAGCTGTTATTATTATTATTATTATTATTATTATTATTATTATTATTATTATTATTATTACTTTTAATATTAATATTATTATTACAATTATTATTATTATTGTTATTATTATTACTATTATTACTTTTATTATCATTATTATCATTATTATTATTAACCCAAACATGAAGTAATTATTTCTTTCGTTATCTATCTTACAATTAAATATATCGTCCTAATATATGTAAAAAAAATATATATAAAAACACAACCACAACCTATGCTTATCTTATACTGACTTAACACAACATAACCTAAACTTAAAATTTAACCTGATATAAAATTGACAATATAAAGTTAACCACACATGACCTTAACCAAAGCTAAATTTTACATTTATACGTAATATAACGTTAACATAATATAACCTGAACTTAACATAACGTGAACGTAATGTAACCTTAACTAACCATATCTTATATGTCCTTAACCTAATCTAGCCAGTTATACGATTAGTTCATGGCTAAATAGTAATATGGCTATAGTCTGGGATAACGTTAGGGTATGATTGGTTACGGTTATTTAGGGTAATCTTCTTTCAGGATTATGTTATGTTAGGTTAACGCTATTCCTGGTTGATATTATGTTAGTTTAAGGTTATATTAGGTTATATTCTATGGG